ACAGGTGCACATAACAGAGTGGGGTCCAAAATCCCTCCCGCAGATCATCAGAGGGCCGCTTTTGGCATCGCGAGTTTTCTTCTCGATGTTTCTATTGCGCGCTCTAAATCCAAAAAGAAAATCTGTGCAACATGGTGAAGGAAGTGAAACTGGAGCTTTTATCCCATTGACATTGTATGGATTTTGATTGTTCATCAAACTCAGGACGTGCAAATGACTATCTCTTCCACGGTTGCTGGTTACCTTCCTGTCTTGCCTGTTTTGCTTTGTTATTGTATCCTTGCGTTCTAGATTAAGTTGAGTTCCATAACTTGTTATTCTAACTCAGAACATGTTAGAGGTATGTGTTATTGATGTTCTTTACGCCACACAATATATACCTTTTCTCATTTGTTCTCCATTGTTTTCGTAACTAAACTCTATAAAATGCATTAAAATGCGCTTTGGACCCTCATTTCTCATTTTATAGAGAGGGTTTTGTTCTACAGTGTTTGAGGTGTAACGTCCATTCTTTTCAATATTGTACATTGTACCAGAGATTTGGTTTGGCATTTTATGGAATCAATGCTGTGAGAGCCGCGGAAAACCATGTTTATCGATCATTTATTTATTTAGGAACAAGAGATAATGATAAAGTCTCTATAATGACTGACTGACTAGGATAAATTCTATGACTGGGAAGAGACAAGCTCTCTATCGTAGATGAAATCTCTCGGAAATGACTGGCAAGAGATACAATCTCTATAAGTTGATCCAACAAGCTGGTCCCATTTGTTCGCGTTATCTACAGCATTGGCCGTCACTTCTATCGGGGTTGCAGGGTTTCAAGATGTCTCATCGCATTTCGAACCCGGCACATCACAGCAAGCCGCCCCTTGCCCATCGAGATAAACCATGATAAACCAGTCTACTTAGTCTACTTGGTAAGTGGGGAAAACCCATGAACACCCTATTAACATGAACACATTTGCTGGACCTGGAGCCATCGGATGCTCAGACTGAGAAACGCGTTGGTTGTCGCTAGTCGAACGGGTTGGTGCTCAGACTGCGAAGACCGTCGAACGAGACCCCTTGGCGTCGGGCCTTCGGGGTTTCACGCGGAGATCGCTCGCTGTCGCCTCGAAAGGCCTTCGCTGCCTTTTTGGGGCCTAAGGAAAGGACCCTTCTCTGAAGTGTCGCCTGGCAGATGTTCCATCTCTGGGGAGAGATATGAGAAGGCAGTGCTCATGGAGCTGTTTCTGGGAGTATCGGGGTTTAAGGTCATGGGTGACCCATCCTTGCTGAGGTGCTCAGATTTCCAGCGTTGGGGAGGAAAGGACTCGTATGACCAGCTGCCAGATGATGAGAGCCTAAATTGCCAAATTGGAAATGCAAATGCGGCTGCCCCTCAGCTCAGTCGAGGGCCGGGAGATGTTTTACAACGTTGCTAACATTCATTTGGTTGAAGGCAAAAACTCATTGCGGTATTTGAGGTGATCAATGTGCCTACAACCTTTGTCAACGAGACGAGATACTCCTTCCGCTTAAATGTCACAGTGGCTGCCTTGCAGGACACAGCTATTTTTCACGAAGAGCTAGGAAGCATACTGCAAGGCTGAGTCAATGCCACGCAATAAGTGTCGCACAATCACAATCCACAGACTCAAGAAGCCAGCCCACATAGCGTGTCATTTCTGGAAATACGTCACGCAGAAGTGCAATCGTACTTGGCTTGTTGCATTGTAAAATCATGTAAAATCTATTTTTCGATCGGTTGGTTGTGCTCTGAAGCAAGACTATGACGCTGGTGGATACAGTTGTTTGGAGGGTTCATTGGCGCCACCATCCTGCTGACACAAGTTCGGCATGTCAACGAGCCCTGGGGTAGAAATTCCAAACCACCACACCTGGATTGATGTGATGCCATTTGCATTTTCAAGAATATGTTACAGTTGTTCTCACATTGTCAGTTATTTGTATATTCATGTAATTAATTGTTTGCGTTGCTCAAGCAGAAACATGAAAGGACCACTAGCCTACCCTCATCTTGCGTCAGCTTGATTTGAAAGCTGTGAGGAAGATGTGGCGTTGCAGCAGCCGTGGACCCTTACCGTTTTGGACTCATGGAGCAATGTCGGAGTGGACATCCTCATCCAAAGGTTTGCGCCTTTACAGAGGTCCCCAAATAGACAGAATATGAGTTGAGGGGACTACTACTACTACTACTACTAATACTAATACTAATACTACTTTATACTACTACTACTACTACTACGACTACTACTACTACTACTACTACTATCTACTATCTACTATCTACTATCCACTATCTACTACCTACTACCTACTACCTACTACCTACTACTGCTACTACTACTACTACTACTAACTACTACTTACTACTACTACTACTACTGCTACTGCTACTGCGACTGCTACTGCTACTACTACTACTACTACTACTACTATCTACTATCTACTATCTACTATCTACTATCTACTACTACTACTACTATATACTACTACTACTATCTACTACTACTACTATATACTACTACTACTATATACTACTACTACTACTACTACTACTACTATATACTACTACTATATACTACTACTATATACTACTA